TCTCCATGCCTGAAGACCTTCAGTTAATCTTTTGGTGCCCATCTACTCATGTGGAGCTTTACATGTTTCTGCTATAATAAAGAACTCTGGAAAAAGAGGGCTAGCTCATGGTCAACAGGATAAAGAGAAAAGGGGGAAAAAAGAAGGTGAAGTGGAGGATAAAATGAAGACCATGTCAATGGACATAATGTTGACAGGAGTGACAGTGTTGAAACATCTGGTCACCTAAGCCATACCATCCAGAGTAAATATATGTGGTTTCTAAGTTAACATTAAATTAAGGAGAAAGCACATTCTACTGTATTACCTCAAAAGTGATTATCCAGTTAGGGAATTAAATATTTTTTTTCTTTCTCCTTGGATCTCCTTCTATTGTCTGACTCTGGCAATTCAATAGGACTGTCTAGAAGAACAATAAGGCAAATAAAATAAACTTGAATCAGTCCTTTCAGATACTGGTTAGTAACTCTGGTGAAAGTTTGATAAAGGAGTAAGCAGATGAGCTTTCTTGATGATCAGTAGAATAAACTTATGTTTGCTGCGCCTAATCTTGTTACTGGGGATAATTTTGAGTTGACTTCATGTCAATTTAGAGGAATAATATGTCATTTAGATAAATTATCAACATTTGGAAGTTTCTATTTCTCTAAAAAGTCTAGGTCTGAGTTAAATAGTTGAATGACTTTCAAAATTTTGAACTTGTCAGATTTTAGTGGTTATTAGTAGAGGAACAGAAGAGCAGCAAAGGAATTAGCAGAGGTAATTAGTTACCCGGGAACACAATCTATCAGAAAAATTATAAAGTATAAATGTGCAACCCTGTCCAGGTAGGAAGTCGTTTAGGTCCTGTTCTACAAGGACAGTTATTGCCTATCCTTTGTTGTCATTTAGAATTCTTATTGCAACCCTCAGTTGAATCCTTTCCATGTAAGCACATCTATAGAAATCTCTGTAGGTTTTTTTTTTTAACTTGGAAACTTATGAAGATAACAAAAGGTTTGAAAATAATTGAACCCTTATTGCTGAGTGAGCTCTGCAGCTTATATAACAGTGAAGCATACTGACATGTGGTATTTTATCTGGTGTTATTTGCAATTCTTTGTCCTGAGCCATAGCATAACCCTTAGCCAGGTGTGGTTAACAGAATGGTACATGCCTGGATTTTCTTTAAATCATGCTCTTCTTTCATCATCTTGTTCTACATCATTTCTGGGTTTTAATATCCCATGATGCTCTGCATCTCATTTGAACAATCCCATTCTCCTAGTGAGATGAATATTCTACTTAGGGCAGTTCTCACATATCACTGCTGCAGTTGCACAGAATTTATAACATCTCATTGTTATTTTGATTTGCATTGCCCTGATAATAAAAGGGAATGAACATCTTTTTATGTGCCTACTGGTCATCTATATATCTTCTTTCGAGAAGTGTCTACTTAGGTCTTCTTTCCGTTTTTAAAATCAGGTTGTTTTTATTGTTGAGTTTTGTGAGTTCTTTATATACTCTGGATACCACTCTTTTGTCAGGTATATGGTGTGCAAATATTTTCTCCCATTCAGTAGAGTATCTTTTCTTTTTGATTCAGGTTTTATTCACTATACAGAAGCTTCTTAGTTTGATGTAGTCTCATTTATTTATTTTTCTTTTATTTCTATTGCTATTGGAATTGACTCTCCAAGCACAATTTTGAGGCTGTTGTCAAGAAGTGAATGGTTTCTGTTTTCTTTTATGTATTTTATGGTTTCAGGTCTTAGATCCAAATATTTAACCTATTTTGAATTAATTTTTGTGTTTGGTGCTAGATAGTGACCTAGTTACATTCTTTCACATGTGAGAGTCTAGTTTTCCCAGCACCATTTATTGAAGAGGTTTTCCTTGCCCTGTTGGATGCCCTTGGCATCTTTCTTATTAAGTTATTTGTTCATATATATATATATATATATTTGTTCATATATATATTTTGTTATTTGTCATTTGTTATTTGTTCATATATATATTTTATTTCTGATCTCTGTGTCTCTTCTTGTCCAATAACATACTGCTTTTTTAAGTCATTAATTCAGAAATGGATAAGTCCCAGAACTTTTGGATCAAATAAGGATATGAATTTTATATAGTTGATTAAAAAATAGTGGGAATAGTTTGCAAATGTCATCTATTATCCACAGTGAAGCCTGGGCTAGTTTTTCTTTGCTAGACTTAGTGTTGAATATAAGAAGTCTATCTCTGACAGCCAAAGACTAGTTCATCATTTAGTTTGCTTTGTATCAGTGTAAGAACCTCTGTATCAACAAGCATCTTTAGTTCAGAAGGTTGTTAAGCTTGTCAAATTCTTCCCATTCTCTTATGAAAGACAGTTTTTGAAGGCAAGCATGGTACTATGTGTGAAGGGGCAGGATTTGTCCAAAATATTGGAATAATTTGGAAGGGGAGATTTCTTGTTTTTTTCACCTGAGATTTTACTTCTTTCCAACTTTCAGGATTTCAACATTTAGGACTTTGATATTTTGGGATTGTGAATTTTGAGATTTTAGACTTCAGGGATTTTGATCTTTCAGGATTTCATCATTTGGGATTATGGTATTTGGGTATTGTGTCCTTTGGAATTATAATTGGCACCAGAAATCACGTTAAATAATCTAGTTATGTGTCTTTTTTTTGTAAAGTTTTATAACAATATATTTAACTTCTTGAATTGATAGAAAAGTCAGGATTTCTATTTCTTCTTGAATTAATGTTTTACCTTACATATATTTAAAGAATGTTTCCATATCACCTATATAAAAACTAGTTTGCCTGTTCATTGAAATGTTTTTCTAATTTTTGCTTTATGACCTAACATTTGTTTAATTTTTATAAATTGGCATACACTTCATTCATTATATTCTTTTATCATCTTTTTAATCTACGCTGTAAAGATGGAGTTATAATCATGTACATGTAATACATATAATACACATAATACACATAAATATGTAGTTCTTAACACTAGTCTGTAATACCTTTTAATCCATATCTGTGAGCTGAGAACTGCCCTGCTCAAAGCACCAACACTGGCATGTGTTCCCCAGGCAAATGCTGGCTCTCCATTTACTTACTCCTGAGGATTTGTGCTTTCTCATTGTTTCTGACATCTTAGGAATTTCCTTACTCTCTGGCTAGCTTATGCATGCATTAAAACCATGATTTCATATTTTAACTAGCACTTTTATTTATGCAATATTTGAAGAGGTCTCCATATCACTAGAAAGGTACTTTTGTAATATAATTTGGAAACCAAAATAAGTTAGATCAATCCAGCATCAAACTATGAACTCAGGTGAAAATGACTCTGAATTTAATTTTCCAGTTGAACTGTTCCAGAATGCAGGAGAAAATAGTGTAATTAAAAGACTGACTGGAAAGAGAACTAGAGAGCATGGAAGAGTACTCACTATAAGCTATTTCCTACCTGCCAAGCCATTTTCTGTTGCCACTATTTGAGTTACGGTATCTATAATAAAATTGATATTGCTACTTTTCAAATTTTTGAATTTTTAATAAAGAAACATCTACAAAAATGCTGTGCACAGGATTTCATGCGTATTAAGCACTCAGTGAATGTGAGGTAAGACTGATTCAGCCTCCTGATAGGACTTTGATAGGTACTACCCAGAGTTTGCCTGGAGGTATAGTCCAAGCCCCTATATATGTATTAGTTTCAAAATGAGAATTTACACTAAGTCTAATGGAAATGAAAGCCAATTCTCAGGGGGAATTTCACACTGAAGAAAACTTTCTGATGAGTTTTTAGCCTTGAAATTTTGGCCTTTTAATTGGAGACCTTTAAACACAACCCCCAAAGAATTTCCACAGTTCCAAGGAACATGAGCTCACAATAACTTCAAATATTTCAAACCTGATAGATTTTAGATATCATCCTGATACTTTGTAAATGATGGTTGTACATGTGGGTACTTCCTTAGATGAAGGAATCAAGGATAAATCCATGAACTTACTTCCTGCATTAAAAAGAATTATGCACGATTTTTTTTTTTCTTTTTTAGACAGAGTGGGTTTTAATTGTTAAAGGGCGAGAGGATGACTTTGGGTTCTTTGGGTACACTGACTGGGTAATACCAGGATACTTTGGTATCAGACAAAATGTAGAGGTTTCAACTTGGCTCACTCAGGGTGAGAGCAGATTATCTCTGACATTTACTGGATGGAGATATTCTTGCCACAGGAATGGAGGGCTTTCCAGTTTATTTTAAACTGAGAACTCTTAATTTACTGTGATAGTTGGCTTGGCTGAGTTGCCATTAAAAACTCCCTCATCTTGAAACTTAAAATGAGTCTGAGCCCGGGTAAGGAAGGAAAACTTGATGAAGTAACCCCGGGCAGTGCTGCCCTATGAGTCATAGCAGAGGAAAGACATCAAGGGCTTCTGTCACTGCACGTCTCAAAGACCTTGAATGATGTGGAGAATGGACTCCAACTGGTCACCTAGTCACAAGCATGTCTCACTCCCTGGCTCTTGAACTGCTTCTCATATTACTTCACTGAGGTTACAGAAAATACTACCTTCAGCATATACCACTTTCAGACCCTTTATTTTACACACACATATGTATGTTGAAAGAGAAATGGAAATCAAGGAATAAAGATAAAATGAAGTATTTTCACCAATAGAAAATTTTGAAGGAAAGAAAGGAGTGTAGTTCAAACAAAGAGCTAGGGTATAGACAAAGTTCACTAAAAAAACATGTTATGGATCTACTTGCTTTTCCTTTTTGCCTCTGGAGGGTAATTATGAACTAATATGCTTAAGATGTGTACCATCTAATATTAGGTTCTTATCAAAAACTTGTTACCTAAAATACTTACATTATTAGATTGAGATATAAGTATGTTTACTTTCTGATGATAAAAATGAGTCCCAGAGACTATTTTCAATTATATCTATTGTGTCATCATGAATTCAATAACAATAATTGTTCTATGATTTATTTGACTAGGATACTGGCCACAGAAGAATGAATTCTTAGATTCTGATGCGACTGTTCCCTATCAAGAACATCTTCAAAGCAATAATTGAGAACAGCATCAAAGGGCAGACCCTTTATTAAGCATGTGATATTCTCAAGTGAGATAAAATTTTTTTCTCTTATAACAACATTTAGCAAAGTTTAGTTTCCTATGGAATTAAATTTGATTCTAATCTTCAAATTAAGCAGTAAATATTTTGTTAATTGATCGAAATTAGATATAATCCATATAAAAACTGGAGAAATAGCTCTTTCTCTTTCTAGACACATTTATTCCATTAAGCAAGGGCTCCTATCCTAAGGCCATGCCTTCCCTGAAATATACAAAATTCTGTGTATGAGAAGTAGTGTGTGTTTCTGTGCATGTGAGTGCGTGTAAGTGAATTTGAGAGGGGGAGAGGGATGAGAGAGGGAGAGAGGTGTTGTTTATGTAATTTTTTTTTTCTGGAGCAAAAATCTACAATTTTCTTGCGTCTCACAAAGGTCAATGATGACAAATCCTACCAAAAAGGCAGGTGTATGTTCCTCAGGTGAGTTATTTGGCTATATGTTTTTTTTTCTGCACATGGAGGCAGATTGTGTTATGTTTGAGACATAACCTTTTCTAATTTATCATCATTAATCTTCATGTTTGAAAATTAAAATAGAGAATTTTGCTCATGTTTAAGAAAGAAGTGTTCAAAAAATAGCTTCTGGGAGTTCCCTAGGATTTTACAATAATCTGCAACTCTGTTTTCCTGAGACATTAGTAATCAAGATATATGGTTCTTTTTGACTTGACATCTTAAGGTTTACAATTTAGTCATTCGATTTTAGTTTGTGGTTCGCCAAGTGTTCACACCCATAGCTCTCCAATGGTGTCTACAATTATGAAATTCAATTATGAGGTGATTGAAACTTTAGGATGGCATTCAAGTAAACTTCTTTCCCTCTCTTCTTTTACTTTTCTTCCTTTAGGTTTTTTCTTAGCACTCCAAAAGTAAGTGTGTTTGCAAAGAACACTATAGAATATTATAAACAATAGTAACAATAATAATTACAGTAAAACACGACTACCTATGAGCTTTCTTTTATTTATTGCTTATGATTTATTTCTTTAAGAAATAGGAAAAAAGTCTCCTACCTCATTAAGTAGAGGAAAAACGCTATCCTCATTAAACTAACATCTGATCTACTGTAGTTCTGACTTTCATTTCAAAGCATTAATAACTTGTCATTTGTAGAAATACATTGAATAGTGTATGGTCCCTGATTGACTGGAGGGCTATAATTCAATCACAAGCCTCTACTGACACTGTGAACCCCAAGGGTGTAGCTTGAGGGTTTAGAAATGGCAGGTAAGTCCCAAGCCTGAATTACAGCTCCGTTATTCAACTGGAGCCACGCTTTGTTATTTATAGTACATAGAAAAAGTGTGGACTTTTCGAAAGAGGAAAATAATAAATCAAACTAACAAGATGACCGGTTCTAAAATTAAAATGTAAAACTCTATGATGTAGAGGTAGAAAGATTAATGAGTGTGTGACGTAGGTTTATTAAAGGTGTGATGGGCAGGAGAGGGAATGGATTATGGGGAAATTAAATGAAGTATTTCACTGGAAGGCTATCAAGTGCCATGGAGGTTTTTAAATGACCAGCTAATAGAGCCAGGCTTATTATCATAATGACCTAACCCAAACACACAGTCCTTTTTCCAATACCTTTTCTCCTGAAATTCTTCAGTCTTGCCCTTGTGATGCACAATCAAAAGGCATTCAGACTATTAATAGTTGCAGTACTGCTACTGATGTTTTCTTGCAGTTAGGGCTCTCCTAACGTGGATGGTCCAGCCATTTGGGAAGGCCTAGCACAAAGAAATAATAGAGTGATGGTTTCCAGCAATGATCATGATGTAACAAATTTACCACTCAAAGATATTAATCGGGTTTGATGAATGAGAAGAAAACATAACTTCCAGTGGTTTTGCTTGAGCTAGTATATTGATTAAGATCGTTAGGAGTTAGTATCAGAAGATTTCAGATTATTGGCTCCTCTTTCTGTGTAACAGATCAGTTGCTAAAATCAATTTCTCAGTACTCACCTTTGCTGTGGGGTTTTTGCAATGCATTTACCTGATGCCTTTCCCTTCTCCTTCATCATTCCTTCAATACTTTAAGCCTCATTTCCTGTCTAGCAGTTAATAAAAGAAAAATGTCACCGCCATAACCCTCACCCTCCCTCTCCTTCAAATTTATAGGTCTTTGTCTTGCAGTTAGTTATTTTACCTTTGTTTAAAGTTTGTCAACCTGTCAAATCCAGCAGTCCAAATGTTCAGAAATCTTTAAACTGATATTGTGTAACAATTGGGGTATCAATTGTTTAAATTTAGATTCCCAAAGCTGTGTCAGTGGAACTACTATGAAATATGGAAGAAGGGATGTGTTTGGTGAAAATAAACTAAAACAATCCTACCCCCAACCTTCTCCCCCAAGAAAACAACCAACTAGATCTGGTTTATATGGTTCTCAGAGTTTATGAACTTCACTGCAGGTTCAGCAAGCCCCGCAGGACTATATTCGGCCCCCAGTTTGCTGCAGCCCCACCACCCCGATGGTTTCTGAGCTTTAGTTGTTTGCCTGGAATCTAAGAGGAACCTGCTGCTTTGCTAAATTTCACTCCAGGAATGTATTACAGTAAAATTTCAGGGACTATTTAATATAGTTGCTTATGGAGAAACAAGTATTTTTAAACACATATACTGACAGGTTGGTCTCACTGCTGAGCAATTGAACCTTAAAAAAGAAAATAAAAATTTTCTTCATGTAGGACTTGTTTTCTCATCTGTTGCTTCTCATCTGTTTCTTACATGGTCTTTTCTTTGTGCTTTTCTGGATCCTAATCTTTTTTTTTTTTTTTTTAAAGATTTATTTATTTATTTATTTATACAAGCACTGGATACGGTCAGAAGCGTGGGAGGGTGAGAGAATTCACCAGAGCCAGAGCGGGGAGCAGAGCAGGCAGACTGACAACATACACTGCTGGGTGGAGCAGCGGGTGTGACAGGTGAGGTCTGCGCGCCATGTGGGACCCTTGCTGGTGGTCAGGGATCAAACAGGTGCTGCAGAGGCTGTGGGCAGCTTCGCAGCCCAGCGCTCAACCGCTGCGCTACTGGGGAGGCCCTGGTATCCTAATCTTATAAGGATACCAGTCAGTGTGGAATAGGGCCTATGCTTAGGAAATCGTTTTAACTTCATCAACTTTAAAGGCCACCAAATAGTCATATTTGAGATATCACGGTTTAGACTGTCAACATATGTATTTTGAGGGGACACAATTCAGTTTATGATAATATGATAGTGTCTTTGTCTTGGACAAGAAAAACTGAGACCCAGAGAGAGACATTCTCCAAGGTCGCACAGCTAATTGTTGTCATACCTATATTAAGCTTGGGACTCAGTCTTTGTAGACTTACTATCTGCCTGGCCAGTGTTTAAACAGAAGCAAATAGAAGTTAATAGAGAAGACTGAGAAATCCTAGCACTAAGGAAACAATAGACATTCAATAAATACATCTTGCATGATTGCTTCTTTTTAATTAGAAATAATGACTTGTTACAGGGTTAGTGGCTTTTTCAACATTTTGGAGATGATAGCTGGATTAAAATATAGATATTGGAGAGTCAGAAAGAATTGACCAAGAACTACATATTAGGAATCCTGCCTAGTAGAGTCTGTCTAAAAGATTCTTTTAGTTTCTATTTTCTACCCCTCCAAGCACATACATTGGGGTAGAGAGGTTACAAAAGAGGGTTGGGGTAGAGAGTTTACAAAAGAGGGAGATGCAGGAGAAGAGGGGACAGAGTGAGCAGTCCATTCCATAGAGGAGCAGGTGAAGGTGCTCCTGTAGGTGAACTCCCCCTTCAACCGCTAGGCTCCCATAGTTTACCAAGAAATGCGGGTACAATGATTTTAGACCTGCACATCAGGTGGAGTGGAACTCAGTGAAGGGGCTAAGACCTTGGTACTTGACATCAACACTGAATAAATGAAACACATCAGAATAAAGCAATAGACTTCAAGCACCAACTCATGGTATCCGTCAAAGACTAAACACTGAAACAATTCCTCACAGAAAACCCAGGTTTATACAGAGGGCTTTGCCAACAGACACAGAAACTACTCAGAAGACAAGAAAGACACCCTGTTCACTGCTGCACTGGTGAAAAGAAGTTGTGAGTTGTTTCACTAATAAGTTTGTGCCGCACTTTTGTCTCCCTCTTAGAGTTCCTTTTCTATGACCTACTCTTTCATTAGTTCTTACAGTAATTTAAGCATAGCCTGTGTATAAGTGGGTCATCTAATTTTTCCTAAATATGTGATTCTCTGCACATCATGTTAATATTTAGGCACATCACAAATCTTTTCTGGAAAATTCTATAAGCCCCTCTTGAGGGAATGGCTGAGCCCAATCTCCTTCCTTTTTGACCTAGCAGTTCCCTATGACTTTTAATCAATTGTTCTCCCCCTCTGTATATCTTTTTAAGGTTTTGCCCACTAGAAATAATAGCCCTATCTTTTCCTAGTGTTCAGAAATGGTTAAACCATGGAGATTTTCTGGAAAGGAGACTGAAATAAATAGGTATAAATTTTGGAAATCCTGGCAGTAGTTTTGATGGTGAGCATGACATTTTCCATGAAAACTGAAGACTTCTCCACATATAATCCACTTCCTACCTCATTCCCACCCCCCACCCCCACCCCAGTATAATCTTGCCCTCCTTTTATTGCTGCTGAAAAACTTATAGTGTCTAATTTTCAGATTTTATAGATAAATAGCAATTCCAGTTTTAAAAAGAGGTGTTACTGGATCATGAAGAACAGGAATATTCAATGAAGAAACACATCAGCATCTTATCAGCATCTTGTTAGCAGCTTATTCAGCCCAAGCTGAAGTCTTTCTCCTGCCCAACAGTGTGGAGTAACTCTGCTCTCTCCTCTCCTCCCACCA